AGTTTGAGAAGCAAGACCGGTCAAGGCTTGTAGGGATACTTTTGGGTATTCCTTTGTCCATTGCCCCCATTCTTGGTTGTCCATTGGCTCTTCAATGTCTGTTGATTGCTCGACATATTCGGTTTCAGGTTGAAGGAAGAAAACTTGAGGGATCTTACAGCGATGGCCTGGTCCGAATTTGTCTCCACATGCATAATAAAGGCCCTTTTCTCGTTGGGCTTGCATCTCAGCCCAGGTTAATCTCTTGGCTGAGCCGGGGCCTGAACCAGAGTTGGTGTCCTTGCCTGTGATTCCTACTCCTGATCTGGGCTCCGGTTTACCCAAGATACCTGGTTTTGGGTTCGGTATACCTGGTCTGATCGTAGCTCCTAGAGGTCGATTAATCCTTCTTGCCCAATTCAGTTGTCTTCATGTAGTCGAGCTAATGCTGCTGCTTCAAGAACGGTGGTGGGCTGCATGGCTTTTACCTCTAGCCGCAATTCTTCCCTGAGTCCACCAACAAAACTGCCGACAAGCGCGTTTTCTGGCCAGTCTTGCACGCGCACAACTAATCTTTCGAACGCCATCTGATAATCTTGGACGGAGCCAGTCTGTCGTAGCTTAGCGAGGCTTTCATCATAGTTCTCAAAAGCCGAGACTCCAAATCGCATGGTTAAGGCGTCGGTGAAGTCTGCCCATGTGGCTCTTGGGTGTCGTCGCCGGTACCACTGGTACCAGACGATCGCCTCTCCCTTCAGGTGTGCAGAAGCTAATGGGACACGATCAGGTCCCTGTGTGTTGTGGTAATCGAAGTATCTTTCTGTTCGCAGAAGCCAGGATGTGGGATCTCCCCCTACGAAGATGGGAAACTCGATTCTTGCTGTTCTTGACTGCTTCGTTGACTGGTGTCACTGCGCTCTTCCTGATTCGGCGCAGGTGGTTCCTGTGCCAGTCGTTCAAGCAAGGATGCAAAGCTTTCTTTGATTTCTTTGACGTCAGCCGATATTCTTTGCATTTCTTCTTCCATGGTGTCGACTCTGTTCTCCATTGCAGATGACCTTGTGCTTGGCATCTTGGCTCTGATACCAACTTGTTAGGGACTGCCTAACTCAGGGACTCTTTCGAGGGAGCCTGCCTCCTGAATGAGAGAGAGAGAGAGAGAGAGAGATTGTATTCCCAAATTGATAATCCCCTCCTAACTTCCTTTCCTTATTTATATATTGCTGTTACAATTCTGTTATACCAGCCTCTCCACTTGTCCAGTCCACTTGTCTAGTTTGTTCTAGTGGTTGGCTGTTAGTTCCATTCTTTAAAGGTTGGCGTGGCCTTTTCTTGTACACTTGTACTCCCTTTATTTGTGTCTCAACAACAATTCAGAACATTGTCCCCAAAACAGCTGTTTTCCAGTTACCTTTTGCCTGTCCAATGCATCAGCTATTCTATTGGCTGACCTTTGGACCCAACTACTAACTATGATTCTTCCTCTCTCCAACTCTTGTATTTCCTTTCATAGTGTTTCAATATTGCCAAGGGATCAGAGTTTCCTTCCTAAGCCTTCGCACTACCACTTTGGAATAATCTTCCATGGTTGGATTGTTGATATTCAATGGTCTTGCCAGTGTTAAACCTTGCAATACCACTGTCACTTGCCTTTGTTGAGTCCTCATATCGAATTGGGCTTGAATACAATCCTCATATTTTTCCTTGATAGGACCCTCAGGTGTTGGAGGTGTAATCAGAGATGAAAGTGGGAAGGTGGTTGCATTGTACTCAGGTCCCATTGGGATGGGTGACTCTCTTAGAGATGAATTGTTTGCTTTATTGGTAGGTTTAAGGAAGGCAAAGGAGCTGAACATTCAAAAGTTGATTATTAAAGGAGACTCACGGCTAGTGTTAAATTAGTTAAGGGTAATGGTTTTTTGATCTATGCTAATGAGAGGAGGGAAGTTAAGTGGTTAATGAGGGGATGGAAATTCAGGTTCATTGGGTGAAGAGAACCGCAAATGCCTTTGCTGATAACTTGGCAAAGAAGGGGGTCAATTGTTTTGGGCAATCTTGTAATTTCCTGTTTGTTCTCTGGGGGTGAGTTAAGTCTTTTTATCTCCCCCTGGAGTTTTGTATGTAATCTTGTTTTATTTTAATAAAATAAATTTTTGTTATTGATAAAAAAATCCCACCTATGCTTGATGGGCCCGGGCATAGTTTTCTTTTTCTTTTTTAAAGTATATGTTCATTAAAACAAAGGAAATGGTACATGCGAAGATGTATATGTATGTATCCTTAGCCCCCCCCCCCACCAAAAAAAAGAAAAAAAAAATCTCAGATTTCTTTCAGAGCAAATGGCCCACAAAACTGCTAAAGTGCATCTTAGAAGTTGGTTATCTTCAAAGCCTTCAATACAACCTGCTTCAGCAGCCCAGGCTACCATTCTGCTTGATCCCTCCATGACAACAAGAAAGAGCAACGGTGACAATGGATCGCCTTGTCTTAACCCTCTTGAGCTTTTGAAATTCCCATCAGCAGTTTCATTAATTAAGATAGAGAACCTGGGTGTGGTCAAGAAACCTTCATCCAATTTCTCCACCTGGTGCCAAAGCACACTCTAGCCAACATATAGTCTAGAAAAGGCTAGTTGACATGATAGTAAGCCTTCTGTAGGTCTATTTTGCAAACCAAACCTTTCTTGCCGCTTCTTCTCCTTGAATCAATTAAATTTTTTAGCTATTAGTACCCCATCATGAATGTGCTTGGTATGAACAAAAGCCCCCTGATAGATGGAGATGAGTGAATCCAGAACACACCTTAACCTTGAAGCCAGAATTTGTAGACACCTCCAATTAAACTGATCGACTGAAAGTCCTTGAATCCACAACTCCATTCTTCTTTGGAATTAAAGACATAAAAGAAGCATTCAAGCTTCTTTCAAGGCCTGCTGAACTAGGGGTGAGCATTCAGTTTATTCGTTTTTAACTGAATTGAATAAACCGAACTGAAACCGAATTATAGAAAAACCAAAAATTTTGGTTCGATTTTTGGTTATTTTGGTTAAAACCGAATTTTAATAATATATACTCTATTACATATTATAACATATAATATATATTAAATATTATAAAATATATATTATGAAATCAAATTTCATTTTATTATATATTAATAAATAAATATATTATATATATTATATCTTACATATTATATACTATATTATAATAGAAAGTTCAGTTAACTGAATTTCTAATTCTAAAAACCGAAACTGAAAACCGAATTAACCGAACTGGTTTAACCAAAAGGTGTTCAATTGCAAAAGAGATGTTCAATTGCAAAACTGAACTGTTTGCAGTCCTAAAAAGTGTTCAGATTGCAAAAGAGATGAATTTGGAAAACCTGGTGATTAAAGGGGGCTCCAAAGTGGTGGTGGGCTGGCTAAAAGATTCAGATTCAGTGGTATGGTGCTATCGAGACGAAATGAAGTTCAGATGGTTAACACAGCAGATGAGTTTGATTATACAATGGGTGGGGAGGGAAGCTAATGTTCTGGCTTATTCATTAGCTAAGCAAGGGTTAACTAGGGATCAGTTATATTGGCTCAGTTGTATTCTTGTGCTGTTTTTTCTTTATGAGCGAGGCTGCACCTCGTGCCTCCATCGGGGAAGCTTGTAATAGTTGTTTATCTTTACTGATTTAATGAAAATTTAAAGAATTGTTACTTATAAAAAAATATTCCATTATTGTTTCATCAGTGTTGATTCTTGAGTGATAAACCTCCCAAGAGAAAGCCCTGACCTTGCATCGAAGTGACCAAACCTCTTTTTCTGGAAAAGTCTGCATTGCTAAGGATGGGGATGATAAAATGTTCAAGAAAGAGGTGCAAGAGAATAGACCACAAGGGTTATATATCCAAAGTCCATGATAATAAGGGAAATTTCATGATCTCTCAAATCCTTTCTAAGACCCAAATCACAAGATCCCATCGCACATGACCAAGAAGCCTGATGAGAAATGTGTTTAACTTTGTCTACATATAAAAATGAAATGTATCAAGTCCAAAGAGCTACCAACTCCAACCTGGAACCAAAGAGGCTAAATCCAGTTAAATAATTACAATTTACAACAATCACCTCAATAAGAAATTTAGTAGGAGCATCTTGACTGGACTTAGTTCTTCGGCTGTGCTTCACTGCTCAACTTGTTGCAGGTAAGTGCATGTAGAAATCCAGAATAAAATAAATTTAATACCAGTTAATGAAGAGAACGAAGATGTGGTGTACTGCTACATGTGTATGTTGCTTAATGATGCATAAAAAATTCCATATTGAACTTGAAGTGGCCCATCTTAAGTAGGTGGAAGATTCTGAGTTTTGGAGCTATATCTATTATTTAAACAAGACTTATGTATAAAATATTAATAGAAAATGGTGTAGTTTCATCAAATTGCACATATATTGGTTTAAAATATATTATGTTACATAATTGAGTTGGTTGATCACCTTGATGAGTTAACCTCATCTACTTGGACCCAACTTAAGCATATTTCTTGGGTGGATGTCCATATATTACATAATTTTAATCTGTAGAACCTACATTGAGTTCAATATTTTATTTTCAGTTTCGATAGATAAGTAACCATGTTTTTGCCATTTTCTTTTCTGTAGATTCAGTCATGTAGAAACTGTCAACACTAATCTTCGTCTGTGCAGGAAAGAAGCAGTCCCATAAATGTGAGAGAGAGCTCAGAGTAATTTCTGTACCTAAACAAAGTCTTGTGCTAATATTTATTGTGGTGGTTTGTGCATCATTAATACTTGCACCTTTGTCTTTCAGGTGTTCTCAGATTGACAACTCATCTGAGAGGACTTGTAAAAGGACTCAGGGTTCAGTGTTTTCCGAAGGGATTCAGAATAAGAAATCACGGAAATATAATGAAGGCAAAATTGGCCACAGTAAACATGCTGTAAAAAACTTAAGAAGTGCAAAGCATCTAGCAAGAGAAGTCCTTCCTAGAAGATCCTCACGGCTGGTCTCTAAGGTTTCTTCCTTTCTTATTATGACTTATTCCATGGTCATGCAATTAGTTGGTATGTTAGAGTTGGTTGATAAGAAATTTAGCAACTTGTAAATAGCAAGTGTATTTGCTTATTTACTTTTTACTTTCATTTTGATTGATAGCAAAAGTTTATTAAAGATCAGAGAATATGTAGGATGTATACAAAGCAAGAAATCTTAGAACAGATATAGGGAACAAAGAACAAGAAAGGCGCCGGGAGGGGGATGGGGTTGATGCCAGGTCTAAGGCTGAGGGAAGGGAATACAAACCTGTTCTTTTCGTAGCTTTATATGGGCCAGAAAATGGTTATTGTGATGGTCAAGGGGCTGGTTTCATCTTATGTTGGTTGAGTGTAGGTGAACCTGCCATCTGATACTAACTTGCTGTTTAGTCCGTCCATCTTTGAGTGGCATACAAAGAGAGGGAGAATAATGTGGAAGTGCATAAGAGCAGCTTTGTTGTGGACAGTTTGGGAAGAAAGGAACACCATAATCTTTTGTGAAAAAGAAAGGAGCTTCTTGGAAGTTAAAGAATGTATTATGACAAGGGCAATTCAGTGGCTGAAAACTCTAAAGCTCTTTGATCCATACTCCTTTGATGATCTATGGAGAAGCTGGTTAGCAGTGGCTAATACTTTTACCAGGAAGGACAGACATGGGGTTGAATGGATGCCACCAGGGGAGGAGTTTATCAAGCTGAACTTAGATGGAAGTAGCCGAGGAAATCCAGGACCTTCAGGCATAGGAGGAGTGCTGAGAAACAAAGATAGTAGCATTATATCTTTGTACTCAGGTCCTGCGGGTGTGGGAGACTCTTTAAGAGCCGAATTACTTGCTGCTGTACAAGGAATCTAGCTTGCAAATCAGCTAGGCATAGAGCATTTGATTATTGAAGGGGATTTCCAGGTGATAGTAGGTTGGCTGAAGAATCCGGACATGGTGATTTGCGGTTTTAGAGATCTTCTCAAAAAGGTTAAATGGTTAACAAGGAATATGACAATCAGAGTTCAGTGGGTAGGCAGATCAGCAAACTCAATGGCTGATTCACTTGCAAAACAAGGGTTTTTTCGGGATACTTTATTTTGGGCTTCTGTGTAATTTCTTTTGTACTTATAATTCTGTAACTAGTTTTAAAGGAAAGGTCAC